GCCCAACAGCCCCTTCTGCACAGAAATCCTTCCTCAGAGCCAGCCTGACCCTGCCCTGGGCAGCTTGAGGCCATTCCCTCGGGGCCTGGCGCTGGCTCCTTGGCTCCAGAGACTCATCCCCCCTCTCTGCCCCCTCCTGGCAGGGAGTTGCCGAGGGCCAGGAGGTCTCCCCTCAGCCTCCTCTTCTCCAGACTGAACCCCCCCAGTTCCCCCAGCCGCTCCCCAGCAGACCTGTGCTCCAGACCCTGCCCCAGCTCCGTTGCCCTTCTCTGGCCACGCTCGAGTCATTCAATGGCCTTTTTGGGGTGAGGGGCCCAGAACTGAACCCCCTCAGCGAGGGGCGGCCTCCCCAGTGCCGAGCCCAGAGGTAAGATAAGATAAGATAAAATAAGGTAAGAGGCAGCATTTCTGCCCCAGAAACCAGATGCAGCAAAAACCTGTGGGACCAGAGGAAAAAAAAAAACCTAAAGGTGGGCAGATACACTCATCAGCTGATACAAAGAACCAAAAAGGCAACAAAAACTTTGCTGTGTGCTCCCACCACCGAAGAGCTGAAGACTGAGGACCAGCAGGATGTTGTCAGACCCATGGTGGTGGCTGTTCTTGTGACTCTACCCCACACATTTGCTTGATTTCTGTCTTTCCCTCCCATTCTGTCCTATCGCCCCCATCTTCACTTTTAACAATAACACCAGATTCGGGTATGGGGCGTTTGACCTCGTTTGGGTCTCAATCTCGCTCTTGGGATCCTATCAAAACCTCCCCAATGTTGGATCAGGGACGTCTCTCCACCTCTGGGGCAGCCAGACCCCCAACAACACCGATCCCACCTGGGCCTGATCCCACGCCCGCCGCAGGGTCCCTGCACAGAGGATACTGGGTGAAGGTGAGGGGGATGCCGATCTGGTAGTCCCGGATGGCGTTGAGCACCCGCAGGTCCTGGCACATGCGCACGAAGCTCTCCGGGGGGAACTTGTCGATGAAGCACTTCCCGAAGGAGGCTGCCTGCAGGCAGAGGAGCGCGGCGCTGGGGGGCTGTGCCAGGAGGGACCGGCCTTCAGCCTCAGCCACAGCCCTCCCTCCACCTCGCTCACCCTCAGCAGCGACTTCTGGGTGTCGGGCTCGTGCTCGTAGCCGGCTGCCTCGATGCACTGGCTCACCGCCTCTGGGAGCAGCTTCTGGTCCTTGATCTCCCGCAGGTACTCGTCTGCCTTCTGGCTCTCCTTCTGCAGAGGGGTGCAGCCTGTTGGGGGAGCCCCGGGACCTCCGGATCTCCCCGTGCCCATGGCCGGGGGTAACGGGGCCGGAGCCAGCCCGGGCCGGGCAGCACACGGGGGTGCAGGGCCGTACCTCGTACTCCTTCTGTGCTTCCAGCAGCAGAGCCCCCGGGGCCATGGAGGCGATCTTGAAGATCTCCTGGCTGGCTTCTGTGAAGATGGGGAGGGGGAAAAAGGGAAAAAAAAACCAAAAAACCCCCATAAGAGGCTGCCCCAGCCTGGGCACCTCACCTGCACCCGCTGCACCCTGCTCCTGCACCACCCCACCTGCGGCTCTGGGTCCCAGCAGAGCTGGTGCTGTTCTTCAGTGCTGGGGGACACACACACGTGTCCTGAGGGGTTATTCCGCCCCCCCCCAGAGCCACGGCAGCTCCGCTCGGGAAGCAGGAGGGTGGCAGCAGTGCAGGAGGTGAGCAACAGACAGGCTGAGCTGTGCCAGGCCTCAGCCCCCAGCCCAGCGGATCCAGCAGCGGGTCCCACTCAGCCTCACCCCACCTGGGATCTCGTGCAAGAACTCATGGGAGGTGCGAGACAAGATCCGGACCCCGTCCAGCTCCGGCACCAGGTAGGAATCCTCATCCAGGACAAATCTGTGCTCCCCGCTAAGGGCTGGTGGGGAACAAGGGGCTCGGGGCACAGCCCAGGGCCAAGGGCAGCCCTAGTGATGCCACGGAGACCCCCTGCCCCCCCATTTCCAGGGGGAGGCAGTGGGACGCAGGGTCAGCACTTGAGAGGGAGAGGAATTCCCCCCCAAGTCCCGAGTGGGCTGGCTGGGGCCGGGCAGGGGAGATGGTGGCAGAACTGCAGAGAGGAGAACAAGGTCAACCCCCTCTGACCATCCCCGGGGGGCTGCTGACACCGAGGGGGGTCTCTGGGGACACCAGTGTGGGTGACAGGGATGGCGGTGGCCCGAGGAGGGCCAGTGGGTGCCCGCAGTCCGGGACGGCCCTCGGAAACGACACGGGTCCGTCTGCCCCAAGGATACTGGATGCACTCCGTGGAGTTCCCCACCACCATCAGCTGCCGGTCCCAGGCCACCACCACAGCACGCTGCCGGCTCCGGGGACGCAGGCACCTGCAGGGGACCCCCAGCTTACCCCCGGCCCCACCGCAGCCCCCCCGCCCCGGAGCAGGGACGTGAGGGGGGTCCTGCCCACCCCAGGGAGGCAGCAGGGCGGCTGCAGAGCTGAGCAGACCCCGGCGAAGGCTCAGGGTACCACAGGGTTACGGGGGGGGCATGGCCGAGGGGAACACTCACCAAACCATCTGCTTGGGCGGAGATCGGACGCTGCTGGTGAACTCGCAGAACTTCTCCTGTGGTGGGAGAGAGCTGGGTCAGGGGGACGGCGGCAGGGCACGGAGGGGACGAGTGGCCCAGCCCAGCACCGAGCGGGTCCCAGCCCGTCGCCAGCTCTGGAAGCAGCCAGGGCTGCATCCAAAGGGCGAGGACGCTGTGTGAGCACTGGAACCAGGCGTGAGAAACACCCCCCCCATCGCTGGAATGCCCACACGTGGGGCAAGAAACCGTTTGTGCTCGGCTGAGACTGAGGGAACGAAGGTGAAAGTAGAAGGATTGGTGTCGGAGGGCGTGGAGGGCGACCAGCCCCTCACCAGCACGAGCCCCGCAACGTGGGGTATCTGCAGGGTGGAATCGTGACGTGCGAGGCCCCTGTGCTGGAGCGACCACACCAGTGGTGGTGGTGAGGCTGAGACTGCCCAGGAAATGGGATTAGAAATGGGAAATTTGGGTACAGACGTAACTGCGACCTGTAGGGAGATTAATTAGTGGTGGCTGTTTGTCTGGGGGGAAGCTTGGACAGAGAAGGGATGAGGCAAGGCCAGCAGAAAGGTGCGTCCAGAAACAGAAAAAGTGGGGAGTGAGGTAGGAAATTGAGTGAAGAATAAGAGGGTGGATGTGCTGAGGGAGGAGTGCAGACACCCCCGACATAGACCTGCAGCCCCAAGTCCGTGGGGACCCCAAGGGAACGCGCGTGGGCAGGGGGAGGAGGGGGCTGATACCCCAAAGCCGTGCGTGCGGGGGAGGGGGGGGG